GAGGCAGATATTCAATAATAAAGGGAAGAAGTTCTGCAATGCCTGCGAAAGGTCAGAGACTTGAATTATTGGAAGACCTCAGAGAAGCCAAGCAGAAGGGTAAAAGGGATGAGAAAGGACTGCGCGTTCGGGATGTCTGCTTCCTCCGCTTAGCATGTGCTAGTGGAAGCTTAAGTCATTGCCGGGATCCCAGACCCTGAACTTAATCCTAAGCGCTGAAATTCTGAACCCCAAAACCGGGACATCATGAGAATGCCAGGCACAGCTCCGCAAGCACCTGTAGACGATGCTGGCTCCGTCGAGGTTCTGAAGGACAACCGGTTTTGGGTTTAGTGCTTACTGCCAGTTCCACTGATGTTACCACTACCACTACAGAGACAACTACCACTACTGGTAGTGCAGCCGCTTCTGCTGCTACACGTTGCTGGCGTTGCAGCCACGACAACCTTCCCAGGAAGTTCACTTGTGCAACTACTACTGCAAAAGTGTTTTCTGGAATGCTGAGGAATCACTCTGGTCGTTACTCAGCTTCCTGCTGCCTTTGTTTTCGACTCCGGGCTTGCAGAGGTCTGTCAAACAGAATCACGTTGTCTAGGTCTACCTGACTTTGCTGTCTCTATTTTCTTCGTGCTATGCCCTATAGACCCTAAGCCCTCATGGGTTAGGATTTAGGGTTTAGGGTCTTCTCCTCTCCACATTCGCAACCTCGCGCCGGCAGGGCTGCCCACTTCAAGTCTCGAGTCTTGAGCTTGTTTCGGCAACTAGCCTTCCAGAAGAGTTCGACGAGGCTTTATGAACAAGGCTTCACAAGGCTTGCATAGTGTGCTACCTGTGGTGAAGGTTCCATAAAAGGTTTCCATAGGGTTTCATGAGGGTTCCGCAAGGGTCTCTACAGGGTATCGTGACGTTCATACAAGGTAGGGTAACCTGCAGGTCTTATATAGGCATAATCCTCTTTCCATCGGTTCCTCCATGCAATCACACTGCAACATACCCCCCCCCCCCAAAAGCAAATTTTTGAATACGTACCTTACAGTACACAGAGGCCTCCCAAAATTCCTGAATTAAGGAATGTACTTTCTGTTCAAATAGGATCCCCACCATAATTTAACCCTTATCCCTAAACCCTAAGCCCTAAGCCCTAAACCCTAAACCCTGTTCCGTACCTCAACCCAACGCAGGAGAAGCGCTCTTCTGGTTCCATTGCTGCCCTGGCGTTCACGGAGGTTCCAGCCCACGGAAACTGGGGGCTTAGGGTCTGGGATTTGGTTCCCTTTGATAGGGTTGTAGGGTTTAGGCTTAGGGCTTGGGATTAAGGTTTGGGGTTTGGGGATTGCTTTGCAGAGTTTGCAGCAGTTCCCCAGAAAAGACGTCAGCGGCAATGCTAGAATTGTAGAAACTCCCAAAACAAATCCAGAGTCCAGTCATTCAGGCCCCGAGCGCTCAGGGTATTCGGGGAGTATGGTTTGGGGTTTAACGGTTGATGATATAAATCCTGCATTTCCCAGAATAAGGAATATACCATAATTCCCATAGTTTAGGGTCCTTAAGGTAATGCAGGATTTATATCATCAACCGTATGGTTTGGGGTCTCAGGTCCTCGATTTGCGAGTCCTTTGATGTTGCACAGCACCCTTCTTGAATTTCCTTTAGACTTTAGGCCTGAACCCTCAACCCCCGAAGCCTGAACCCTAAACTCATCACCCCTTAAACCCTCGAGCCCTTGAGCCCCAAAGGAAACCTTATAGATTCCTTCAAGGAGCCCTAAACCCTAAACCCTAAACCCTAAACCTTAAACCCCTAAACCCTAAACCCTAAACCCTAAACCCCTAAACCTTAAACCCCTAAACCCCTAAACCCTAAACCCCTAAACCCTAAACCCTAAACCCTAAACCCTAAACCTTGTCGGATCTAGGGTTCCCTTATGGGACCCTTTGTCCTAAGCCGTACACCCCTGAACGTGACAGAATCAAACCTAAGGGCTCCTTAATGGGATCTATATATAGGGTTCCTTTGGGGGATATCTATTTTGGGTTCCTTAAAGGGATCTGTAGGGTTTAGTTTAGGGTTGATGGCCTACTTGGAGGATCAGGGGGCTCAGTAAGTACGGTTATAAGTACCCGAATTGGGGTTATAAGTAATTACAAGTATAGTTGCCTTATTTATAACCCTAGTTGCTAAGTCCCACGATCCTTTAAGTAGAAGGCACCAACAGACCCCCTTGTAGTGATTTAGGTTCCTACATGATTGTCCGGCAAGTGGGAAGAGTTGCGACAGCCGGGCAAGGCAGTGGCACTGGCTCCGGCACAAGAAGCACCTTTCTTGATCCTTGGATGAATTCAAAACTTGTCTAGAACTGCAGCATAGCTGAAGATCCACTGTGATCATGGTCTTAGTCGTCATCGTTATTGCTATCATCGCCGTCAGGACCTTTCTAGCAGTAGCGGTGACGAGATGAGCCCTGGAAAGCGACTGAAACCTGAAGCCCCAAACCCTGAACTTTGTCCTTCCTGCTATACGAGCTACCCAAAAACTGGTTACTAAAAGTGCTTTTAGGGTTTAGGGTTAAGGGGTTTAGGGTTTAGGGTTTCTTTATAATGTAGAGGTCTTAACAACTAGAGCATGGCTTCAAGGAAAACGCCCTTACAGGGACCCTTGAACGGAGATTTGAAAGAACTCTGAACCTTGAACCCTGAACTCCGGAAGTCGGACTAACCCGAAGCCTGCCATGGCACCCGGTACTTAGAGGATCATGGGACTTAGTAAGTAGGTTATAATTGGGGTTATAAGTCCCCTAAGTGGGGTTATCCTAATTATAACCTACTTATAACCTGACTTACTAAGTCCCATGAGCCTTCAAGTAAGCATTGAAGAAGCCTCAAACCAAAACGCGAAAGCCTGAATGAACCTCGAAAAGGCCCACGCTAGACCCTAAGAGCCCTAAGCCCTAAACTCGACAATCCCTACGCCCGTAACCTTAAAACCAGAAAACCCTAAACCCGAAGCCCACTAGCCCCGAAACCCTAAACCCTAAAACACCTTAACTGCCAAAGGCCACAACACTTTTCCACAAAGCCAGACTCAGTCAGGAAACTTGAGCTCGACCTGCCCGAGGCGGGAGGTTTGGGCTTAAGGGCTTTAGGGTTTAAGGTTTTAGGGTTTAGGGTTTAAGGTTTTAGGGTTCGTCTTCATTAAAACCTGATGAATCTCATCTGCAGAGCCCTGATGTTGGAGGTTGTGGGTTCAGTTTCTCGGGTTTCGGATGGTTCTCCCGTCTCAGTTCCCCTGAGAATGAGGAAGGAGGACCGTGGGGGCACAGAGAATGCACACTTCTGGTATTGCGGCACGGCTACCCAACACACTTGGCGCTTGGTTTCATCCGGTTTTAGGGCTTAGGGTTTAGGGTTTAGGGCTTACCCTAAACCCTTAAACCCTAAACCCTAAACCCGCTTAGGATACGGTCGGGAGACAGGTTGAGGTCTAGGGGACATAGGAGTTTCAACTTAAGGTTCTTCTCAGCTTCTCTTGGTTTGCTAAGACCTAGAGTAAGGCCCTATTCCCTTGTTGTAGGGTTCATTAGGGTTCAGGGTTTAGGGTTTGGGGTGGTTCCCTTATAAGCCCCTTTGAACCAAGAAGGACTCCCTTTTTGTTCCTAGGTTACTCTCAGGTCTAGTTTGGTATACTTTGTCAATGTTTCGTGTACCGCATGGCCAGTACTCTGAGGCGGTCGTGCACCATTGCAGCTGTTCGTTGTTCGGGTGAACTTGGTATTGTCCATAGCATCAATGCCACGGCTGCCTTGATTCCAAGAGATCAGCTGCTGTTCACAATATAAAGGGAACTCCAGAAAGTTGGAATATGGATCAATGGTAGGATCCCCTATAATTTACCTTAAAGGGGTTACGATAATGATATTCCAACTTTCTGGCTTCTACTATACGGTGGTATCTTTGCAAGCTTCACCTTTCTAGAAGCCTGCAGTGTGCATAGGATGAAGAGCATGCTTATTTTGGGGTCCTTATAGTAAGCATCCTACCCTTTAGGGCACTATTTTATTAGGGTCCCCTATTTTCGGAAATTCCCGTTTAGGCTTTTTTCGTTTAGGCTTTTTTTCAGCCGCCTGGAAGTTGCAAGTCTTACAAACCCTAAAAGCTAAACCCTAAACCCTAAAAGCCTTAAACCCTAAGCCCTAAACCCTTACTGCGTGGCCGTGCTTTTGCAGGTCGTTGTCGAGATGCAGATGGACCAGCGCTCGCAGACCATAGGCGTGGACTCAGCAGTTCTTGGCTTTCCATAGGAGTACTTGGAGGATCAGGGGACTTAGTAAGTGGGGTTATTAGTCCCCTAATCCCCTAATTGGAGTTTTTTTTTATAGCTACCTTTTGTATAACCCTAGTTACTAAGTCCAATGATCCTTCAAGTAAGCATGACCCAGGCCAGGAAATGCGTTTTGGTCAAGGGGAGAAGCGCATCCCGAATCCTGAGTCAGTGAGCTGTCATAGTATATGGCTAAGGGTGTATGATGGCAGCCTAGCCGACCTGGCTCCGCTTTACAAAGAGGGTTCGCCTGGGCATTTGACGTCGAACCCTGCGAACGTTGGCGTAGCACCCCAGGCAGAGCTCAGAACATTTGCAGGGTGGTCTTATGTCTGAGGACATGCGAGTCGACAGCAAGGCACCAAGCAAGTGCTGCTACACACTTAAGCAGCTGTTTGAGGAAGTTGTGCTTCTGCTGACGGTTGTCACTCATGTCGTTTCCATTATTCTTCCTGCATGCTAGCGCTCTAATCCTACTGTTGATGATATAAATCCTGCATTACCCATAATAAGGAATATACCATAATTCCCATAGTATAGGGTCCTTAAGGTCATGCAGGATTTATATCATCAACCGTATCAGTGCTTTCGTGGAGAGAGGAGAGCCAAGGCGTGTGATGTGAAGCTCTGCTGCAGCGGTGTCAGGCATCCTTTCCACCTTCCCTTTGTATCAAGCTTTCGCCATGTCGCTCGCCAGCACGTCTTGGGAGAATGCACAGGTGCGGGTATCCCGGACGTTCCTGGAAGTCGTTGAGATGTGCGCAGCACCGGAAGCAAGAAGTCGTACGATGCCGGCGCTCCCCAGTTTGGGCTTGGACCTCGAGGAAGAGCCCGCACCGGGACTCGCTGTTCTGGGAGAGCCGAGCTTCAAAGAGAAGCATCACGAGTCAGATCAGGACCAGAAGTTTGTCGTGCGGGTGTCACGGACATTCTTGGAGGTTGTCCCAGATGTGACCGAGGATGCTGAGCTTGCCAGCCGGCAGCTGCGCAGCAGCAGCATGCCCGTACTCCCCAGCTGCGGGCTTGATTTCGAGAAGGAGGGGGAGGAAGAGGAGAGCTTCGGTGCATCTGAGAGCCAAGAAGCGCCAGAGCCGATTCTTCGTGGCACTCCGATCTTTCACCCCCACCTCGCAGAGCCCGTCGTGGGCATTACGATGTGTCAGGCAGTTGAGGTGATGGAAAGCCAGGCGATGGGGCTTGCGCCACGTTGGGCAGAGCCCCTGCTTAATGGGCTCGTCGTCCACCCGGTGGACACAGATCCAGGCGTTCAGATGCAGGAGGAGATCGATGTCGAGCGTTTTACAGGTGAGGAAGAGGCGGTCGGCAACCAGGATGGACGGGAAGAGCTCAAACTTGTGCCGCAACATGCCGACGCGCATTCGGGCCCGTTTCCATTGCACATGGTTGAGCGACACAACAACGGCCAATGCTTCCCTTGCGTTTTCTTCTCAGCCAGAGGAGATGGCTGCCGCAAGGGTGACAATTGCACGCACTGCCACGTCTGCCTCCCGCATGAGATTCGCCGCAGGAGAAATCGTATCAGCGCGGAGATGAAGAGAGCAAAGAAGGCTGCTTCAAGGCATCAACACGACGGGGCTTGAAGGAGCCAGAGGCAGCTCGTCAGTGGACACTTCGTCTTCAGCATCATCTTCGCGCGGATCTTTGGTAGTCTAGGCCCAGGTCAAGTCAAGTCTTGGCTTGCGGCTGCCGGCAAGAGTCACGGCCGGAACTTCTGCTCGCTGCTCAGTTTCCCATGCAGATGTGTTGACCGTTTTGGCAGGACTATGTCGGAGGATCCCCTTGTTTCGTGTTTCGTAGTGCATGGGACAGTTGTGCAGTCAAGAAGTCACGAGGCAGCGCATGGTCTCGGAGCGCGCAGCTCAAAGCTCATAAAAGCTGGATGTTCATATATGTATGTATGTATTATATAAATAAATAAATAAAAGCATATATATATATATATATATATATATTATACAGTTGAGGTGTGGTGCAAAGCCGGCTAGCAGATATGGCTTTGCGCATGCGCTCTCCTGGCCTCGCCCTTCATCGCATATCCGGCCAGTGCATAAAGTGCTGTGCCGGTCATTTTCCATGTTTGCCACCAATTTAGGGGCCGAAATAATTACCAAACCAATTTTGGGTGTTCCTTATTATTTTTGTATCTTTGTCGTATACTGGACCCCAAAACCCTATTCTAATTCTAAAGGCCCCTACATTAATCTAATCCATCTGAGATGGTCCAAAGCTCCGGTTCGCACCAGACACATAGCCGGGAGATTCTAGATCCCGTGCTTGAAGCCTACCTTGACCTACCAAAACCTACTTTTCTGTAGGGTCCCTATAAATTCCTTATTAGGGTTTCTAATCAGAGCCTACAAAAAGGGAGGGTTTGGTAGTTTGAGGTAGGCTTTAATATTGCTATAAGAATACTGTCTTATTACTACTAGAGTTGCTGGCATTGAAGTGTCTTGTTCAGGCGCGGGTACTTCCTGCAGGCATGTGTCGAAGGGCTGCCGCTCTCTTTATAAAGGGAACTCCAGAAAGTTGGAATATGGATTAATGGTAGGATCCCTTATAATTTACCTTAATGGGGTAACGATAATGATATTCCAACTTTCTGGCTTCGACTGTAACTTTATGAGTCGTCCAACAGGTGAAGCCTTGTTCGACCGGTATGAACCAGACTTTCCCGGCGCCGGCGAAGCACCAATCGCTTGGGGTATGATTGCAACACCGTGTTCCCAAATGAGTGAGTGCAAGAGCTTATATTGCAGAATATTGCAGAACTTTCTGCGACAAATTGCAGCAGATGTCAGCTTCAGCCGTCGCGGTGGAAAGCATTCTGATTTGATGCACTTGCCGGGCCATTTGGACTGGCCATGATGTCGCAGGTGTGGCATGTTCTGTGCGGCCGGAGGGTTTACGTTTAGAACTGAGGCTGTGCAGGGTTGCAGAGTTCTGCGAGGTTTGTGTCCTCAGCATTCCAACGTATGGCAATTTATGGTAATTAGGGATGTGTGTTGGAGGGTTAAAGATCAACCGGCAACCAGACCGCACTACACAGATTTTGCACTTGTAGCCTGTGCATTTTTCGCAAGATCAAAATTTTCCTGCCAGAGAATGTGGGGCTGCGTGGATGTACCCAAAGACTCCGATATCCCCTACTTGAGGAATATACCTTAAATCGTATTGGGGATCCCATTATGATTTAGACAATAGTCTTCAATTATGTCGGCGATATTGAAGTCTTTGGGTTAACGTTTTTGTGGCTTTCTTGTGGCGCCGGGCACTTGTCAACAACAAGTTGGAGCCACTTTCAGCGAGTGCGAACGTCAGAAAATGAAGTACTAGAGTTAACGCAACTGAGAGAGTGCAAGTGGTTTCGAATGCAGGCAGGATTCTTCTTGGCTTTCCCGTCGTTGGATATCAGCTTTGGTAGTCGTCCTGGTAAACTTAAGAACCGTAACAAGAACAAGAACACGAGACCAACAGCAAGAGCAAGAGAGCACACTACCAGCACCACCAAGGACAGTGGCAATGATGCCACTGGCCATAGCAAGAAGAAGAGGATGCTAGCTGGAACTTATGGGTGACTGCCCGTGGCTTTCTTGCTTTGTTCTCAGTGAGTATTGTCACGCAAACACAAATCGGTCGCCGCAACATCAGCAAGGACAGCAATACCACACAAGTCGCACACAAACACACGCATGCTGTACATATATATGTATATATATACACATACATACACATGTAGTATAATAAAATGACTATGCTAAATTATTGTTATTATAGGATTGGAATTACTAGTAATACTAGTATTCTTCGTATTGTTAGTATTGTTCGTATTATTAGTATTGTTTGTATTATTGGTATTATTCGTAATACTTGGATTATTGGTACTAGTAGTACTTATGGTTTTATTGGTATTACTTGTATTATTGGTATCATGAGTGTTTTTTGGTTTATTAGTGTTATTAGCAGTCTTGTTATGAGTATTGTTATTCTTGTCATTAGTGTTATTATTGTTGTTATTGTCAGTATCATTATCGTTAATAACAATAATAAGGATAATACTATGTTTAGTTTACGAATAATGTCCATTGTCATTGCTATTCATATCATTCCTTTTCTTCTTCTTCTTCCTCCTCTTCTTGCCTTTTTCTAGAAGCAATCTTGTACACACACATGTATATATGTGTACACATATGTACACATACAAATCTATCCGCATGTGCACACACACACACACATAAACCCTAAACCCTAAACCCGTTTTTGGGACTTCACACCCAGCCCCAGCCGGAGGCTCCGCCGAGTTGCACGTGACGTTGTCGGCCGGGGAAGAACTGAGCGTCTGTGCCGAGGCTCTGGGCGATTGTTGCTTGGAGGATCAGGGGACTTATTAAGTAAGGTTCTAAGTCCCCGAATTGGGGTTATAAGTACTTAGAAGTAGAGTTACCTGAATTATAACCCTAGTTACTAAGTCCCATGATCCTTTAAGTGGTTGTGCTTTCATGACTATACTACCTGGACCCTGAAGAACCTTCCATTTTAGGGTTCCCTAATATGATTTCTTTATATAAGTCCTCGAAAACATAGGTTCTTCAGGGTCAAGGTGGGCCTTGAAATGACATAATTTTTAATTTGCCTTATTCTTGAATATAGAGCCCTAATTATGGATGATTTTGGGGACTGTTGAAATCGACACCTGGCATATAGGTGCGGAGACGGCAGAAGTTACTACAAGTTTGCTTTTAGGATTTAATTATTTGCTCTCAGAGTTTCTATATGTGTTTCTATAACGGTTACCATAAGGCCTACCCTATGGGTGTCTTCTTGGGGCTAGTCTGGGTTTGGTGTGGGGCCTGGGAGTTGGCTGACGGTTCGGCAAGTCCCCGGCACTGCCGGAAGGCCGGTTTAGGGCGGCTGGGGACGGATTTTCACTCGATTTTGAGCGTCTTCGGTGCTAGCCAGCTTTAAACCAGGCCGGGTGTTTATCTACATCCTCTCTGAATTTACTGTGAATGGCTCATCTCTTTGGGCTTGAAGGATGATGGGTCTTTAGTAACCATGGTTACAATATTCAGGTACTTGTAGCTTTACCTACTAAGACCCCTGATACTCCAAGGAGGTCCGTTGCAGATCCCTTCTATAAGCCCTAAACCTAGACCCCAAACCCTAAACCTTAAACCCCAAACCCCAGACCTTAAACCCTAAACCGTAAACCCTAAACCCCAGACCTTAAACCCTAGATGTAGAACCCTCAAAAGAAACCACCCGACTACCAGGTGGCAGCCATGAGCCTGACGGTCCGACGCGCAGAGGTGCCGAAGTTCTTGGGGGGGGGGGGGGGGGCTTCGGTTTACGACGTGGGGTTTAGGGTTTAGGGTTTAGGGTTTAGGGTTTAGGGTTTAGGCGTCTTGTTGCGCAGCGGCTGGTCATCCAAGCCAGGATGGCGCCACCTCATACCAGGGTTTGTGGGTGCACCACCCGCTGTGATGATACCACCAGGCAACCACCCAAACCAACTCCTGTTGGGGTTTAGGGCTCACGCCCTCAATTCCCACACCGAGCAGACAGGGCAGGGACAAGGGGGCTAAACCCTAAACCCTAATCCCTAAACCCTAAACCCTAAACCTTAAACCCCTAAACCCTAGACCCTAAACCGTGTATCACAGTGAGGGTCAGGGGTGGCAGGGGCGCGCCCGAGGGGAGTCCAGGGGTCCAGGGGCCCCCACTGTTTGGCCCAGAAATCGTCAGTGTCTGGACACCCAGCTATGGGTGGCAAGGGAGGGCTTAGGTTGTGGGGTTCAGGGCTTAGGTGCTATCGACCGTGGCATCGGCAGCGATTAGGATCGCCACGAAGATGGCTACGGTTACCATGGTCACTGGTGCTGCTTCTAGCCATGACCTCGATGATGATGGTGATGGTGATTACGTTTTTCAACACGCTGGGTATGATACTCATGGTGGTGACGTTTGAGCAGATGATGATGAGGATGGTGCTGCCCGTAGATGATGGTGACGATATTGGTTGAGATGACCCTGAGTATACCCATAGTAACAAGATGATGTTAACAAGTAACTCTAAACCCTAAACTGAAGGAGGTATATGCCCAATGCGTTGAAGTGTTGTCACGGAGATTTTACTCCGTCCTTGGCGAGGTCGACGCCCGGCTCGTTCACTTGAGCTCCCCAGCAGGTGCTGTGCAGGACAGGAAGGCTATGGCAGGGATCACGAACCCCTAAACCCCAAGCCTTATATCCTGCACCCTAAACCCTAAACCCTACAAGCAATAAACCCTAAACCCTAAACCCTAAACCCTAAACCGTCTGCACTTAAACGGCTGTTGAGGATTCGCAAGTTCAGGCTGAAGGTTCGAGCCAGAGGTTAGGGTTTAGGGTTTAGGGTTTAGGGTTTCTCTGCATCTTTCTCTTGGAGTTTAGCTCTTCGCGAGCAGTCGATGCTTGGACTATTTCGGCTTCTGGGTTTCTTGTCAGGCATAGGCTGCGTCATAATGAGCGTTATGAGCGCTGCGCTCATGATGACCATCATCAGGCCATTATCGTTACTGTGATTCTTAAGAGCTAGTCTTTATATTGTCATTATAGCGGGTTCCTTTAAAGGGGTTACTACAAGGGATCTGGCATAAGGGTTCTGTAATGTAGGGGCCTGGCTAATTAGAATAGGGTTTTGGCCTGTTCATGCACCAGACCCTGGTCCCCAGCTGCGACGGTCGAGATTGCCATTTTGCTCCGAACGTAGTCTTAGTGAAACGATGTCGTGCTGCCTATCCCCCATGGCTCGCCTACTGCTTCTGGTCAGCATGATTTGGGATTAAGCCGTGAAGTATCTCCAACACCTGTAAGTCACACAAATACGATCGTGCCTCTTTAGCTGCAGCCTCTACTATAGAGACCTTAATAATTACCTATACTATTCTGGGGGGATAATCAGAATATGAACATACCCCAAAACCCTATTCTAATTATTAAGGCGCCTACATTACAGAACCCTTATGCTAGATCCCTTATAGTAACCCCCTTTACAGGAATCCGTTATAGGAACCGATTCAACTGTCGAGCAGGATCACGAGGTTGTGGTTCTTCCGGGAAGGTCCTTCCAGGCCCTAAGGTTTCGGGGTTTAGGGTTTAGGATTTCAGGATTTAAGGGTTTAGGGTTTGAGGGTTTAGGGTTTAAGAGTTTAGGGTTGTCATGTGTGGAGCAGCTGGGGAGGCTTGGGGTGGCTTCTGATGAAGCTCGACGTTCATGGGCGTAATCTCATTACCAACAACGTGAGAGATGAAGGGTTCCGATACCAGGATCACAAGCGATCGAGCAGGGACAATTTTGCCAGGTGCTTAATTGAATAGTTATCAATATTATTCCCTGGGGTTCTGTTTTTTTCGTTTTCATTCTTTGAGGAGCAAAAACCCATATCTAGTCTATTAAGGCTTAAACAGCCCCGAAGCTTGACAGTTGACACCCTGACCATCGAATCTACAATTGTGAGGCTGAACCTCCAACCCCAAGCCATCCTTTAGACCCACAAACATAAACCCCTGTACCACGCTTACCGTATCCCATTGTACTATCCCTTATAGCAACACCTCATACCCTAAAACCGTAAAGCCCTAAACCCCAGACCTTGGAACCCGTCTGGCGTGCACAGGGTGGGCTTGCGAGATCGTGCAGTTAACAATAACCTTACTTAAAGGATCATGGGACTTAGTAACTAGGGTTATAAGTAAGGTAACTATACTTATAATTACTTATAACCCCAATTAGGGGATTTATAACCTTACTTACTAAGTCCCCTGATCCTCCAAGTAGAATCCCGAAGCCATACATCCGGAAAGCATACCTCGTACGGTTGATGATGTAAATCCTTCGTTACCTTTAAGGACCCTAAGCTATGGGAATTATGGTATATTCGTTATTATGGGTAATGCAGGATTTATAATTAATTTCCCTAAACCCTAAACCCTATAGATCCCTTAAAGGAGCCCCTTAAAGGTACCCCTATAGAGCCCTTTAAAGGAACCCCAGGATTCAGGGATCAACTGTAGCAGCCCTCGTGAACCTAACCAACGACGTCCTCAAAAGCGGTTTAGGGGTTTAGGGTTTAGGGTTTAGGGTTTAGGGTTTAGGGTTTCATCCTTTTTCCAAGGATGGCTCTGCCTCTGCTAATTTGGCAGGCCTCGGGGTTTACCCCTTTGTAAGGGCTTCGGGCTTAGGGGATTTGGGATTTTGGGGTTTAGGGTTTTTGGTGTCTAGTGCTGCTACTGCTACTGCTATTATGCGGGCGACTATGCGACTAGCGATACTTTTGCTCTACCTTCGTCGTTTTAGATATCTCTGACTCGTATTCGGCTGCGGTTTTGATGCTTCCAGTGTGTATATGTGTACATACACCTGCATGCATGCATGCGTGCGTGCGTGCCTGCGCGCGTGCGTGCAGGCGTGGATGGATGGCTGGCTGGCTGGATGGATGGGTGGATGGGTGGATGGATGGATGGATGGATGAATGCATGGATGCATGGATGCATGGATGGCTGAGTGGGTGGGTGGATGGATGGACGGATGGATGTGTATGGTGCTACAGATTCATTTGTAGTGTGTTGCTACTATTGTTAAACACCGTCATCCTTGGTGTGTTTCTCACTATTTCTTGTTTGTGGCAGTTTTTCAGTTCATCGTCGCTCAGGGTATTTTGTTGCCATGTTGACTACTGCTGGTCTTAGGGTTCACAGCGACAGCACACCCGCTGGCAAGAGACCTTGGGGCACTTGTGTCGTATTAGTTCCAGGTCTAGTATAACCCTAAACCCTGCCCCCTACGCGCCAAACCTAAATCCTAAACCCAAGACCCAACAACAAAAGCTCTAGTTTACGGATGGGGTGCCGAACCTGCACGCGGTACTCTACGCTCCCAAATTGGGTTCTTGTTAAGGAGTTCAAATAAAATAGTTGTAATGACGAAACCTCATTGGTTACTATGTATCAGTATTCAGGTACAGTACCTTAAATCAAAATTCCTTTTACGAGAACCTAGACTAGGTTCCTGAGTGGCACCCTTTTGCCTTTTTTAGTTTAGGGTTCCCTTATTAAGACCAAACAGCAGGAAAAAGGGGTAACCTTATTATAAAGGGGCTACTCAGAAGCCAAGTAGAACAGTCTAAACTCGAAGCTCCTGAGCCCTAAACTCCTAAACCCTACACCCACAAGCTCCGAAGCCGAAAGTCTAGGCCATGAATCCGAAACCCGACGCCCTAATATAGAATTACCTATGCTATTTTGGGGGTTCCTTTTAACGGGGTCTAGAAGGATTACTACAAGGGGTATGATGGGGGTTGAGTATAAGGATCTAAATAATTACCTATGCTATTTTTTGGGGTTCCTTATTGTGATTATAGTATAATGGGTTCCTAAACCCTATTCTAATCATGAAGGCCCCGCTATTAACACCCGAAAGCCTGAGCCGGTGTAGGCAGAGGCGAAAGGCGGCTCCAGCGGAGGCCCTGCACCTGTCGAGAAAGGGCATTGCTGGCTAGGGTAGGGTACTTGGAGGATCAGGGGACTTAGTAAGGGTTCTTAAAGGGCTCCTTAAAGGGATCTAAAGGGTTCCTTAAAGGGATCTATAGCGTGTAGGGTTTTGGGTCCCATGATCCTTTGAGTAGGGTTCCGTCACCTTATCAGTAAGACTAGGAGTTCAGCATTGTTTCAGTATAACACCAGTATACCTCGAAGTAGAAGGGAGTAACCCAAACCCTAAACCCTCAACCCTCAACCCTAACCCTAAACCCTAAACCCTAAACCCCAAACCCTAAACCCTCAACCCTCAACCCTAAACCCTACATGTCACTAAACCCTAAACCCTGAATACGGGCCGTGCTTAAAGGCTCCTCGGCCCTACTTAGGGTCGGGTTCCTGTAAGGGTTCCGACAAGGGTTCTATAGGTTTTAAGGTTTTTGGTTAAGGGACGAAAGGTGCAGGGTTTAGAGTTGAGGGCTTAAGGCTGAGGATTTGAGTTTACGGCTTTAGTTGGGAGTTTGAGTTCAAGGGTTTACGTGTTTAAGGTTGGGGATTTGGTGGTGTTGCCTCCGCCGGGGTTTCTGGACAATCAGGACCGTGATCGCCGCCGCACTCCAAGGGCAGCCAGTGCACCACGCACTCCTACGGCTTTGGAAACCCGGGTGTTCTGGAGCTCCGTTGTCGTTCCCTCCAGAACCAGCTCACGAATGCTGAGCACATGTGGCACGGCAAGTGTCAAGTTTTCCAGGCCCGTAATGACTCCGATCGGGCGCAGATCTCTATAGGGTTTAGGGACGGAAAGGGGGCTCACTCCCAGGTGTATGAAGAGCTGACCAACCGCTCAGACGCCCGACTTCGGCCCCCCGGCAAGCATTCCCGCGCTCAGAAATCGCCTGGACCGCTTGCAGGGTGAGGTCGCGCGTCTGCGGGGTTTAGGGGTTTAAGGTTGGGGAGTTGAGATCAAGGGCTGAGGGTTCGCGGGGAGGGTAGGATCGAGGGTTTCAGTTCACCTCAAATTCAAAAATCCCCGAAGCCCACACCCTAAATCCTTAACCCTTAAATCCTAAATCCCGAACTACGAACCCCGAGGCCTTATACCCAAAAGCCTCTGAACCTTGAGTCCGAAGCTGTTGCACCCCGCACCTGGGTTCGGGAAGCCTCCGGGTTTCCTGAATTTTCGGCCAGAACATATGAGTTCTATGAGAGTTTGTGTCTGACCGTATGATATCCCTAACCCCTAAACCCCCAAACCCCTAAACCCCCAATGCCCTAAACCCCTAAACCCCCTAAACCCCCAAAACCCTAAACCCTAAACCCTAAACCCCTAAACCCCTAAACCCCTAAGTCCCTAACTAAAGCCGAAGAGCCTCGAGTCCCTAAAGCCCCAAGTGTGCGGAAAAGGGCTTTGGGGTTAGGGTTTGGGGGGTAGGGTCTAGGGGTGAGGGTTTAGAGGTTTAGGGTTCAGGGGTTAGGAGTTTTAGGGTTTAGCGGTTGCGGGGTTAGGGGTTTAGGGGTTTGGGATTTAGGGTTTGAGGGTTCAGGGTTTATGGTTTAAGTGACATTTTCTTTGCGGAAGCTTTGAGGCGGCTACTCTGGCGGCTCATTTGGAGGTGGTGGCTACGCGTACAGTGGCGACTCGTCACAGAATTGATCCAGAAACCCTGCAATAGTTTGCAACAGTTTTGTGTAAACAATCATAGGTTCTTCTAAAAGAGGTGTTTAGAAGAACCGCTATTTTGTCAAGAAGCCCTCAGCCCGCAAGCTTTGCGAATGCTGGCATCCTTGCAAGGACTGTTTCTCTGTTGCTGCAGCTGGGTGGTTGTCAAAAGTAGGGTCCCTTTTTGGGTCCGTGTTATAATGCGGCACCTAATATTTAGAGTACCCAAAAACGGACCATAATTTTGACAACCAGCCAGCGGGCAGAGTGTTGGTACTTCTGGTCATCATGGCGGTAATCGTTGCATGTGCTGGTGCTTGTGTTGAGTTTTTGTGTCAGCAGCAGTAGTGGTAGCGGTACTAGTAGTGGGCGTGGTAGTGGCATTCGCAGTGGCAGTTGGTTGGAGAGGGAGTGGCAGTGTTAATCGTAGTGGCTGTGGCAGTGGTCGTGTGGGGGTGCTTGTTGTAGGCGTCGTAGTAGTAGTAGTAGTAGGAGGAGGAGGAGGAGGAGTAGGAGTAGGAGTAGGAGTAGGAGTAGGAGTAGGAGTAGGAGTAGGAGTAGGAGTAGGAGTAGGAGTAGGAGTAGGAGTAGGAGCAGGAGCAGGAGCAGGAGCAGGAGCAGGAGCAGGAGCAGGAGGAGGAGTAGTAGTAGTAGTAGAAGTAGTAGTAGCAGGAGGAGCAGTAGTAGTAGTAGTAGTAGTAGTAGTAGTAGTAGTAGTAGTAGTGGTGGTGGTGGTGGTGGTGGTGGTGGTGGTGGTGGTAGTAGTAGTAGTAGTAGTCAGCAGTTGCAGGAGTAGCAGGGGTAGCCGGAGTAGCAGCAGTAGCATCAGTAGCAGTCATCGTAGTAGTCGTCGTCGTAGTAGTAGTAGTTGTTGTTGTTGTTGTGCTCAGCAGCAGTCGCCATAGCCAGGCATTTTGAGCGGTTGGTGCTACAAGAAAGAACATCGGTTGAAGATTTACCCTACAGCTCTAACATGAGAAACATCTGAACCCCTCAAGAACCCTCCCAGCGCGAGTTGCAGAATGCTCGAAGCCTTCAGCAGCGCTCAACCCGGCTGCATTGATTCAGCCCTTCTCCAGGTGGCTACTATTCCAGCGGAGGCTCTTGCAACAGCAGGGGGTTGGGAAATCCCTGCATGCGCCCGTACACATGGGCACACATGTATGCATGCAAGCATGCATATTCGAGCAGTCTTGTGCATAAGCCTAAATAGAGCAGCTCAGCAAGTAATGCCTGTAAACCCTAAGTCATAAGAGACCTGCTACGTTCAAGTTTCCATGTTGAGGCGCGGGGCTTCCATTTGTCACGCAGACTTAATCAAGACATGACAGGCATGCAGCCGCTCCGTTCACAATCCCTAGCACCTTAACCCTAAACCCGAAACCCTAAGCCCTCATCTGACCCTGAAACCCCCAATACCTGCAGCCCTTAACCTTAAACCCAAGCCTTCAATGCTCCTAATCTTAAGCCGACCCGAACTCTTAAACCCCAACCCCCCCCCATCTCGCGATATAGGAGAGGCACACAGATAGTGCGCAGCTCGAAGGTTCTGGGACATGGACCCGGGAGCACAGTTAAACATGTAATTATACGAATACTAATCATTGCAACAAATGGCTATACCTAGCACTTATTGTAGCAGGCTCTTGTTAGTAGACATGGTAATTTCACTAATACTAGCCATAGCAATAAGCAGTAATGACTAATAAGAATAGTAGCGGGCTCTTTTCAATAACCATAGCCATTAATCAGTTACCAAGTAGAGCAATAAACAGAAGTTTTAGCAATGAAGAACAGCAGGCTCTTGTTGATGCACATAGCAATTCTGCTTTTACTAATCATAACTAACAATAATACGAAGTGTTAGACCTTTGCTGCAGACTAAACCCCTATAACAGGCCTTAGAGCAACCCGTGTAGACCCCTTTAAAAATCAACCCACAGGCTCTTGCTAATGGGTTTAGGGATTTAGGGTTTAGGCATCCAGGACGTAGGGGACTAAGAGATTAGGAATCCCGGATGTAGGGATGCAGTGCAGGGATCTAGGGTTTCAGGGTTTTTATGGGCTTTTTTATGGGCTTACAACTTGGGCGTTCCAAGAAAGAATGTCCGAGCAAGGTTCAGTTGCTCTGACCAACTTCTCATTTGAAGTTCAGGGTGGAGAAGCTCTGGATTTCGGATTGCCATAATATAATATTCATGTAATCCTTATGGTCACTATTACAGGGTGGGGGGGCAGCTTCTAAGGTCTCGGTTTTAGAGTCCCGAAAACCCTGAACCCAAGGCCCGAAGCCGATCGGGCTGTTTTATGAAGCTCGGATCTGGGGTTTAGGGCTTTAGGGTTTAGGGTTCAGGGTTCAGGGTTTAGGGTTTAGGGTTTAGGGTTCAGGGTTTAGGGTTTAGGGTTTGGGGTTTACCTGAACCCGAAAAGACCTATGTTTTTTAGGGTTTCTTATTATGATTTCTGTATATAGTTCCTGAAAAAGGTAGGTCTTTTCGGCTACAGGTAGGGTTTAGGGCTGTGTTTGAAGCTCGGAGAAAGGCGCCCAAAGGTCGAACGGAGTTCTACAAGGCTTAGTGCGACTTGGTAGGCTGGATGGCGGCCAGACAGGGTTTTGCAAGAGATTGGGATACTTTCAGGCCAGTGCATGGGTACTATATGAGTATGATAAGGCCACGGTAAGGCTACTAAAAACCTAAAGAAGGATAGCCCGGCAGGGAATGCTTTCGAATGCGGCTCCAGCCAGGTGTCATCTCAAACCGCGCAATGTTTGCGAGCGCTTCTGGCTGAAAGATTGCTCCTATTCAGGGTCAAGGTTTGAGGGCTTGAGGTTTGCGATTCAAGCCTCTGGAATTGTGACTTAACGCTGCATCCGTGTCGACACCAATCTCTAGACCTTGAAAGGGTTTCAAGGGATCAAGGCTTTGGGGGCGTGAGGGCTTTTAGGGTTAGGGTTCAGGGTTCAGGGTTCAGGGTTTAGGGTTTAGGGTTGGCTGTGGGTTTAGAGTTTAGGGTTTAGGGTTTGGGTTGGCCGTGGGTTTAGGGTTCAGGGTTTAGGGTTTGGTGATCCGAAGCTGCATAAATGAATTGGATTGCACTAGAAGTGGAACTGCCAAAGAAGCCACTGCCTTCCAATATGCAAGGTGCCCTTTAAACCCGAAACCGAAACCCTGAGCACGGCATATTCGACCCTGAAAGTCTTACTTCAGGGATTATGGGAGTTAGTAGCTGTGGTTATAAATAAGGTATCTATACTATTAATTACTTATAGCCCCGATGAGGGTACTTATATCCATACTTACTAAGTCCCCTGATCCTCCAAGTACACCGCAGCCTGATACACTCTCATATGGGAGTTTCCGAAAATTAGGGGTACCTTCTTTTGGGGTCCTTATAATAAGGATCCCACTATTTAGGGTGCTATATTTGGGTCCCCTATTTTCGGAAACTCCCATATACACAACAGACTGTAAAAAGTGTAGTGGTTCTATGCGATGTTCAGGCACCAGATGGTTTTTCCACACTTTCACCCGACCGTGCCCCGATGAGGTTCATAATTCAGCACCCCTCCAAGCTCACTTAGGGTACTTAAAGGATCATGGGACTTAGTAACTAGAGTTATAAATAAGGTAGATATACTTACAACCCCAACTAGGGGACTTATAACCTTACTTACTAAGTCCCATGAGCCTTTAAGTAGGGCGGCGAACTTGTCCATCCCATCCTGAAGCCAAACGCTAACCCATACACCGTACACCCGAATCCTACCTAAACCCTAAACCATAAACCCTAAACCTTAAACCCTGTGCCAGCTGCCGGTGCTTTCGGTGCCATTGTGCTGCTAAATGCCGGCGTCCGCCGCCGCTACGGCCCCGTGGCTTCGCAATGGCTCTAGGGGTGCAGGGAGTTAGTCGCAGCTTAGGGTTAAGGGTCTGGTTCGTAAACCTTAAACTCTAAGCCCCTAAGAATACGCAATCCCCTAACTTGTCTTCGTGGGGCATGTAAGGGCCAGGGCCAGCAACCCTAAGCCAGCCCTAAGTGTAAGGTTCTGAGTTTGTAGATTTCTTGCGACTCGGTTCTGCAGCACACCAGCATCCTAAAGAGTTTGAAGCTAGGGTTCAGGGTTTAGGGCTATTTCAGGGGTTCCTTGAAGGGCTCCTTAAGCCTATAAGGGTTCTACAAGGGCTTCAGGGTCTTGGGACTCAGGTTTCAGGGTCTAGGGGTTTATGGGTTTAAGGTTGTCGGGGTTTTCATGTTCGCGGCGTAGGTGTTTTCGGGTTGATCCATCCTGGAATGAAGGCTGGCAGCCGCAATTATCGCGAATACCATAGGCTGGAAACATTCAGACTATTTTGGGCTCTCATGTAAGATCCTAGTCACACAGCGCGAAGGTGTGTACAAAGCAAACGGGACACACACTGTCACAACCAGTTCTATGCCTTCGATATTTCAGCTGAAGTCTCTGCTGCCTCAGGCGTCTGGCATGATGATTCAGACAGCTCTAACTGCTTGCTGGCGCTGCTTGGCTTGACGGTACTGCATACGGTCGTTCATACCGACTATTTGTTTGAGTTCAGGTTCTCTGTTCGTAGGGCCAGCCGTCCTGTTCGCATTGACCTTGGCGTGGGTCAAGAGATAGCATTGTAGCATCTTCCGCATACCAGAGTCTGATGCCGAAGCCTGCTCAGGGCTGAAGCATTTCAGCCTGATGAGACACCCTAAAACCCTAAACCCTAAACCCTACACCCTAAAACCCTAAAAACCCTAACCCTCAATGCCCTCATGGTGCCCGTCCCGCGAGGTCTGAGTCGGAAATGATCTCCGCGTGTTCGAACTTGATGCCAGCTCTTCAGCGGCATCAGGGTTTAAGGTTTAGGGTTAAGGGTTTAGGGTTCAGGGTTCAGGGTTAAGGGTTAAGGGTTTACGGTTTAGGGTTAAGGGTTAAGGATTAAGGGTTAAGGGTTTAGGGTTTAGGGTTAAGGGTTTAGGGTTCAGGGTTAAGGGTTTAGGGTTTATGATTTAGGGTTAAGGGTTTACGGTTTAGGGTTTAGGTCTTGTTCAGGAGAGTTCACCTTCGGTGTATTTGTGGCAGCGAGTTTTGAATCGTCGTACCGAGCAATGCTGAGGCAAGGATGCAAGGCTATCCTAAAACCTAATCCGTAGACCCTAGTCCACAAACCACAATCCCGAATCCCTATATAAACTGATCTGGCATCGGTTGAAGCTTCGGCCTTACACTCAAAACACTCTACTTGGAGGATCGGGGGACTTAGTAAGTAAGGTCGGGAGGAACTCACTGAGGGTTATAAGCAATTGCACGTGCAGTTACCTTCCTTGTAGCCATACTTACCAATTCCCATAATTTAACGAGTTGCCTTACTTCCCAAACCCAATGCCCCATGATCCCTCACCGGCTACTCAGAACGAGACGGCTTGCCATGACTGCATGGCCTGCGAGAGCGAGACGTGCACCTCCGCTGCAAGAGCTGACATGATCCATCCTGTTTCCCGGAAACCTTACAGATCCCAATATACCCTGAAACCCCAAACCCTAAACCCTGAAATCCTGACTGAAGCCTTGACCTCCCAAACGAAACTGGTACTTTCCTGCTCCTCGTTCTTTCCGAACCCTGCCCTGTGCCTGTGCCTGTGCCCTGGGCCCTGTGCCGTGTGTCTGTGCCGCCCTGTGCCCTCTGCCCTCCCCCCTCTGGCCCTCTACCCGAACCATTCTTTCATCAGAGCGGAGTCGCAAAAAAGAACTTCCGGTTCACCGAGTTCTATACTTGCACACAGAAGGTCGCGTGACGCCCGACATGCCGCCCCCCACAAACCCTGGCGTCAGGTGGCGCCATCTAGCATGGACTATCGGCCACGGCGCAAGAAGACGCCCTAAACCCTAAACCCCCAACCCAAAACCCAAAACCCTAAACCCTAAAAATCTAAACCCTAAAAACCCTGAACCCTAAAAACCCTAATCCCTAAACCCCCCCATGAAGATGGGGATGGGAACGGGGGAACCTAAAGCCGGTCCACCAGCTCAAAGCGAAATGATCATGAAGCTTCCAGAGCCTCCAAAACCCCTTAATTAAGGAATATACCTTAAATCATAGTAGGATCCCTAATATAGTTTGAGGTATATTCCTTAATTAAGGGGTTTTGGAGGCTCTGGGCTTCTGGATCTTCGATCAGAGGGTTTAGGGCTTAGGGTTTAGGGTTTAAGGTTTAGGGTTTAAGGTTTATAGGTGTTTTAGGGTTTAGGCTTTAGGGTTTAGGGGTTTAGGGCTTCAAGGCTTTAGGATTTTTGGATTTTGGTGCCTTCAGGGTTTTTTTCGCTTTTCGGAGGAGTGTGAGGATGAAGCCGAGACTTCGGAGAGAGATGAGCAGGATGACAAGGATGAGTGGATGCGTGACGGAATGATGGAACATGTGTTAAGCAAGCTGTTGCGAACCGAACCCCATGCATGGGAGGGCTGAAAAACTTGACGTGAAACGAACCCCAACATGATTTGAACTTTCCAGATTCGGTGACTTTTGGCGCGACAGGCTTTTGCGCTGTTCGCCTGCAGTGGAAGCGGTCCTCCTAGGGACCCCACTCAAAATAGCACAACAAAGCTTATTTCAAGTTCAGCATCACAAAAATCCTGGGGCAGAGCGGAGAGGTTTGGAAGACGTTGAATCTAGACTTCTGGACGAAGCCTCGTAGGTTCATACCACTTTATGCCCCAAACCGTATCCCAACGGTTGACGATATACATCCTGCATTACCCTAAGGACCTTACACTATGAGAATTAGGGTCTATTCCTTGTTATGGGTACTGCAGGATTTGTATTATGGATCGAAGCATTAAAGACCCTAGAGTAACCCGCTACGAAGTCAGGCATGAATAGGATCAACAACTGCGACGACTTTCTCTCCACGGCCAGGGACCTACACCTAAGAGCTTTGACAGGGTTCACATTAGTCTACATAGCTTACGTATTTAGAGATTCGGGTTTAGGGCTCCGTAAAAGGAGTCAGGGAACAGGTTACAGAGGTGTCATTCGATTTTTTCAAACCCTAAACCCTAAACCCTAAACCCTAAACCCTAAACCTTAAACCCTAAACCCTAAACCCTAAACCCTAAACCCTAAACCCTAAACCCTAAACCCTAAAACGCAAATCCTCAATCGTGGAACCGCTCAACCCTACACCCTCATATCTGAGCCGGATAAAAGCTTTCGGAGTTCACGGTTTAGGGTTTAGGGTTTAGGGGTTTAGGGGTTTAGGGGTTTAGGGTTTAGGGTTTAGGGTTTAGGGTTTAGGGGTTTAGGGGTTTAGGGTTTAGGGGTTTAGGGTTTAGGGGTTTAGGGTTTAGGGGTTTAGGGTTTAGGGGTTTAGGGTTTAGGGTTTAGGGTTTGGGTTTTAGGGTTTAGGGATTCTGGTGAAGGGATCTATAGCGACTTAAAGTAATCGCCTTCACACGGGCCCAGTTGAGGGTGTTGGGTCGATACTCCTTACAGAAGTAGTCTTCAAAGGGCCTTGAAATCCCCTTGTACTTGGAGGATCATGGGACTTAGTAAGTAAGGTTATAAGTTCCCTAATTGGGATTATAAGTACTTATATGTACGATTACCTCGTTTATAACCCTAATTACTAAGTCCCATGATCCTCCAAGTAGAGATCCGGTCCCGGGCCTTCATGTCGCCTTGCAGTGGAACAGCAGTCGAAGAGCTTTGAAAGGTTGGATGCTTCGGTGTAGTGCGGGGTTTAGCGTTTTGGGGGTGCGACAGTATGCTAGGATGCTGAACCCTAGTGAAATCCTATGCCGAAGCCTCAAAGCCTAAACCCAGCCTCTCTGTGACACTTCTCCTTGGAGGGGCAGCGGACTTAGTAAGTAGGTTATAAGTAGAGTTCTCTCCATTGAGGATACTTATAACTCGACTTATAACCTACTTACTAAGTCCCCTGCCCCCTCCAAGTCGGGTGCGGCTGGGGTTCGGGATCTAGGATTTCCGAGCAAGGCTCAGCATGTATTCGTAATGCCGGATTTGGTTCTAAAGGGCCGTCTTCCGGTTTCTGAAGGCATGGGGACATGAAGCCAACTTCTGCAGGATGTATTGCGGATTCCTGCCCCAACAAGCCCTCCAGAAGCCTCTGCACTCTCAACCGACTGTTTCCGATCCCAGCAGCCTTCAAGAATACCCTAAACCCTAAACCCCAAAACCAGGCAAATCACTGCACCTCAGCCCCTACACCCCGCAACCCCCCCAAAACCATAGCTCTGCAAGGGGATCTCTACGGATTACTGTACTTGGAGGATCAGGGGACTTAGTAAGTAAGATCTATAGGGTTTGGGTTTTAGGGTACCTTAAGAGGGGTCTATAAGGGTTACTATACGGGCTATTATAGGGATATGGGGTCTACCTGGAGGATCAGGGGACTTAGTAAGGGTTCTTAAAGGGCTCCTTAAGGGGATCTAAAGGGTTCCTTAAAGGGATCTATGGGGTTTAGGGTTTAGGGCCTACTTAGAGGATCAGGGGACTTAGTAAGTAAGGATATAAGTCCCCTAATTGGGGTTATAAGTAACTATAGGTATGGTTACCTTATATATAACCCTAGTTACTAAGTCCCATGTTCATTTAAGTAGATCAGCTTGTACCCTGCATGAGTCAAACCCCCAGGCCACGCCTCTGAGAAGCCCAAGCTCAATCCCTCGAGCTTTACGTATTTTAGGGTTTAGGATTTCGTGCTTTCGGGCTTAGGGATTTAGGCTGATTTAGGGTTTAGGATTTAAGGTTTGGGGTTCAGGGTTTAGGGTTTAGTGTGTAGGCTTCAGCATTTGGGGGGCTCGTAGTTAAGAATGGACGAATGGAAGGTCTTGGCTGAAGGCTAAGCCATGACGAGCCGCAACTGTTTTCAAACGAACCAGGTGCTGCCCAATTAGAAGCAGCCGCTTTCCGAAAAAACGATTCAGCAAGCTGCTTGGAGACACTGCGTTTCATGCAAAGCCGGTTCTAGGTTGAAAACAACATGTGTTTCACCAGGCATCGGTTTCGCTTAGTGTCGAAGGCCGTCTTTGACGAGGTACTTGTTTTTCAGGCAAACGTCACTGGTTTGGCTCAACGACCACATCTTGCAGATTCGTTTTAGCCTCTCTGTCCTGACTCACCCTCACAAGAGGAAGTCTAAGGCTATGAACCTGAGCTGGGAACCTAAGAACTCACCGGGGGTATCCCCAGGCCTTTACCGAATGCTGCACCGACGAGTGCGATGATGGCGGTGGTGCTGTGATTGGTGCCATTGTCGGCGTGGTCGTGACCGGCCTGATATGCCCCTTGGAAACATCTTGAGCCACCACAGCGTGTTCGTAACGACTAACTGACTAACATGGAAGCGATATGTGTTTGCTGTTTTCCCGTCTGCAAGGCTTTGCAGATGTCGCTATCACCAACACAGGGTCCGATTATATTGCCAAATCCTTGGCATATCGTGTCTATCGAAGCAGCAGTGGTGTTCTATGGCATCGTATGAACCGTTGCACATAATACATGTATTTATGTATGTATGCATACAGGCATGTGTATACATACATACATATATATATATATATATATACACCTATATATATATATATATGCACACATACGTACCTGCAGATGTCCATATTAGGCGCAGACATCTGTAGAACCTTGAAGGCTTTTCCAATCCTGTACTTTGATGATGCATTTCTGCGTGTGTACGGCTGAAAGACACTTGCTTCATGCTGAGCCCTTGTAGCTTCAAGGTATGTGTGCCTGCGCCGTCGCTTTCAAGGTGATTGGCAAGGCGCGTTCAACCTTGAAGCCTAAACCGGGAGTGGTGGATCCGAAGCAAACCCCCAGTCCTCGATCCTTGGGGTGGTATGCACAAGGCTGAACAACTAACAACAGTGCTATTCTCGAGGGTTCGCTGCCATACTAACTAATATGCAAAATTACCCGGAAACCTAGAATATGCTATACCAATAGTCTAACATACCCCAAAACCCTCTTTCACTACTGCAGGCCCTCATATCAGCCTAAGAGAAAGTTCTGACAAGCCAGCTCCACAGGTTCAAGCCTCAATAAATGAGTTTCATGGAGTAGCTTAAGTGCAACAGTCGCAGAAGCTGTGATAGTCAAAGTAGTCCTCGTTTACGGCAGTCGTCGCAGGAGCCGTAGAAGCCGTTGTTGTCACCGGATCCCCTGAATCCTCAAACCCTGAACCCTTAAACCCTAAGAACTTAAACCCTTGGCATGGGTCTATAGTGATATAGGGGCCTGAACGACTTGGTAATACTTTCTCATAAGGGTTCCTTATCATGATTGTCTTAAAAATTGTAGTACAAGTCATTCCGACAGCCTATTCTGATTATTGGCGCCCCTATGTAAAGGGCTAGCTGTTGGTGGCTCCCATTTAAACTGCTATTGTTACTTCCTTCTGCCTGAGCCCTCTCTTGCCCCAGGTCTCAGCCTACCTCAAGCCGAGACGAAGTCTAGGGTTCAGGGGTTTAGGGTTTAGGGTTTAGGGTTTAGGGTTTAGGGTTTAGGGTTTAGGGTTTAGGGGTTTAGGGTTTAGGGTTTAGGGTTTAGGGTTTAGGGTTTAGGGTTTAGGGTTTAGGGTTTAGGGTTTAGGGTTTAGGGTTCAGGGGTTTAGGGTTCGGGTTTAACACTGTCGCATTGAGGCAGGTGCTGCTGTTCAACAGGCCTCGCGGGTGCAGCGCTGTTTCACTTTTGGGTTTCAGGTTTCTTTTCCAGGCAAGGTTTCCTGGTGGGAGGCTTAAGCCAGCGAGTGCAGTTTAGCAGTTTAGCGTTTAGGGTTTTGGCTTGGAGTGTTTTGGGCTCAGAGATTGGCGGTATGATCGGTGCGCTGTTGTGAGATTCCTGTCGCTTTTCTTCGATATCCATCTCGCTCGACACCCCTCAAAAGTTATGGTTCGCAGCTGTGCGTTTGCTGCAACTCACTGGTGCCTAGTATTGCTGCTAGTTCCGCCATATGGCCCCCGGTGTTGCCTGTTTCCCCCAACCCCAACCCTAAACCGTAGGCTCTAAACCTCTACGCATTCGTTCTTATGTTGTCAGTTTAAACATCCCCTAACGTGCAGCTGGAGTTCAAATCTATAGGCCCTTTGACTGGATGGGAAGAGTGGCACCGTACACAGTATATACCATACCTTCATGCTAAGCACTGGAAAGCTCTCCATGCCAAGCCCGAAACCTACACCCTTTGAGGGTCTACAGGGACCTACTTAACGGATCGTGAGACTTAGTAAATAGGGTTATATATATAAGGTAACCATACTTATAGTTACTTACAACCCCAATTAGGGGACTTACATCCTAATTTGCTAAGTCCCCTGATCCTCCAAGTAGGCCCTAAACCCTAAACCCCATAGATCCCTTTAAGGAGCCCTTCAGATCCCCTTAAGGAGCCTTTTAAGAACCCTTACTAAGTCCCCTGATCCTCCAAGTATAGCCAGCCGAACGAGCTTCGACCCAGTATACCCCCCAGATACACCATCCACTCCTCCCGACCACAGCCAAGCACTGTCTAGAATCTATAGCTTGTCTGAAAGCAATACACACCCAAATTTCTGATCTGGGTGCTTGCAGGACAGCTTTCGATGAACAGAACTTCAGGTTTGAGCTTCAAAATCCAAAGCCGGGCTTTCGGGAAAAGGGGTTTGGGGTTTTAGGGTTTAGGGGTTTAGCGGGCTTCATGATTTTCGGGTCTGGGATAGGGTAGTTGGGTCCAGGGTACTGCTACCCCCGACTCTCAGTTTCACATTTCCATGAGCGGTGGAGTATCGTTTCCGAGTTCCCAACCCACAAACCTGCCAAAAGGCGGGCTTGAAGCCTTCCCGCTCAGGGTTTAGGGTTAATCTTAGAGTTTAGGGTTTAGGGTTTCAGGTACTTAAAGGATCATGGGACCTTAGTAACTGGAGTTATCAACAAGGCAACTATACTTATAACTACTTATAACCCCAAGTAGGGTACTTATATCTTTACCTACAGAGTTTCCTGATCCTCCAAGTAGACCCTAAACCCTAAACCGTATAGATCCTTTAAGGGGCCGTATAGATCCCTGTAGATCCCTTTAAGGGGCCCTAAAGATCCCTTGGTCCAGGGCGGCGGTGGGGATCCTGGCAACCCTTACGGCTCAGCAACGCCCTACGGCGCGCCCCTGGCCTGAGATCGGTAGGTCAAGAAATGGGAGTTTCCGAAAATTAGGGGTACCTTTGAAGGAATCCTTTAAGGGTTCCTTAAAGGGATCTATAGGGGTTCTATAAAGGGTTTAGGGTTTAGGGCTCGGAAACTCCCAAATCATTGACCTGTTGTAGACCGGGGTTAAGGGTTTAGGGTTTGGGGTAGGTTAGGGTTCTACATAATGTCAGTCGGTTTAAGGGTTTAGGGTTTGGGGTAGGTTAGGGTTCTATATAATGTCAGTCGGGTTTAGGGTTTAGATTTCTATCCAAACCCCAAACCGTAAGCCTGTGCATCATGTCGATATCCAGTGCCATGGAAGCAAGAAGGTGTCAGAAGCCCAAAAGTTGGAAGCCCAATAGCCTCAATCCTTAAGAGTCATGCAGAGGGATCCCCGCACTAATTTAGTCCGGTTTCCAACTTTTGGGGGTTTACATTATTAGAAGGAGAGGAGCCTGCATCCAGCGTGGAGGTTACACGTTGAAGCGATCTAGAAGCATGTGGGAGGTTCCGAAAATTAGGGTACCTGATTTTGCGTTTGCGCCGTTATAATAAGGATCCTACCTACTATTTAGGTACTATATTGGGGTCCCTTGCCTTCGGAAACTCCCATGTGTGTGGGTGATTTTCTTGCCAGCTCTATAGTGTCACATAGTTATTGCCGAAGCCCTAAAGCCTGAACCTTAAACTACTACCAAGGTGCCCTTCCAAGGGTTTAGGGTTTAGGGTTTAGGGGTTTAGGGTTTAGGGTTTAGGGTTTAGGGTTTTGGTTTAGGGGTTTAGGGTTTAGGGTTTAGGGCATTGCCGTCGGCCAACTCTCGTAGTCGCATGGGGACCTGAGATATCCCAGAGACCAGGACCCCCCCCAGGCAAGCTCTCAGCTCACCAAAGCAGGACGGTCACAGCTTGATCTGCTCTGGGATGTAGGGTTGGGCGTCTAGGGCTGAAGTGTCCTTAAAGGACGCCCATTCTGATAAAGAAACCAAGGCCCATTGGTTTTCCTCAGAGCTTCAACCCTAACCCTAAACCTACTGTCTTTATAACCCGAGTTACCAAGTCCCATTATCCTCCAAGGGTGCTTCGAAGCATAGAGCAAAACGAGACAGCATCACCAACGCTACAGGGAGCATAATGGGCTTGGGGTTTAGGGTTTAGGGTTCAGGGTTGAGGGTTAAGGGCTTCAAGCTCAACGCACAAAACTCGAGCGCCCCGGCTCAAAATCAAAACCTAACATCCTAAAACTCCGGACCCTGAGCCCTAAACCCTGAACCCAAACCCTAAACCTTACACCCTAAACCAAAGACCCTAAACCCTAAACCCTAACCCTAAACCTCCGGACCCTGAGCCGATCAGAGAGCCGATGCCTGAAGCCGCTCTTGAGGTCCTAGGAGGCCAAAAGGGGCTTTAGCCGATGGGGGTTTAGTGGGGATTAGGGTTCCCATGATGGGGTTGATATTAAGGAATCCCTACCCCAAGAATCTTAAACCCCCCCTTGTGGCCTCTCATCATTGAGGAATGGTGCTCCTTACGGGGCGGCCCCCGGCCAATACCAGGTGCCAGCTCCTGTCAACTACGCAGGACAGGGCAGGGCTTAAAGTCTAGCCAGGCCCTAAGCCCCCCCAAAAAATCCACGAACACCTAAAACCTTGAAGCTTAAAGCCCTAAACCGGCTTCACGCAACGGCCCAAATCCGAGCGCACTCGGACCGTTTCTTAGGAGGACAGACTTCTATCGAGTTCTGTCAGGTTGCAAGCGCTTTGTGGTTTTTTGCTGCAAGGGTGCGTTTATAGCGGTTTCTTGCCATGTGATACTTGGGCCCACTACAAGGAATCCGGACCCCTAAACCCTACAACCGCAAGAAGCCTCGAAGCCGGAGGCCTGAACCCGTAACCCAGACCTTCCAAAATCCCTTCATCAAGGATTAGACCTATACATTATAGTATAGGGAACTCCAGAAAGTTGGAATATGGTTTCAGGGTAGGATACCCTATAGTTTACCATAGAAGGGTTAGGATAATCATATTCCAACTTTCTGGCTTTTACCTTATACCTATACATTGTAGTAGGGGTCCCTAATATGGTTGAAGGTATGTTGGAAGGTCTGGGAACCTGTTGGCGTTGCGGTTGTCTGTTGGGTTCGGTTTTCTTTGGCTGCAATGGTTCACAGCGGAGGGTTGAAGTTTTGGGGTTTCGAGTTTCGTGGTTCGGGCACAAAGCCAGAGAGCCCAATACCCCTTAGTTAAGGAATATAGCTTAAATCATAATATGAATCCCCTTAAAATTTAAGGTATACTCCTTAATTAAGGGGTATTGGGCTCTCTGGGAAGCCCCAAATCCCAAACCTCTACAAAAGCTCGACTTAACTTCAAATCACCAAAGCCCTGAATAACAAAGCCTGCTACCCCCTGTAGAGGTCCTGGAGAACCCCGTCAAAACTCAAGCCCTTAAGCCCTAAACCCCTAAACTCCGAAACCCCTAAACCCTAAACCCCAACCCCAAACCCTAAACCCTAAAACCCCAAACCCTAAACCCCTAAACCCCTAAACCCTAAACCCCGAACCCCAAACCCTAAACCCCTAAACCCCAAACCCTAAACCCCTAAACACCAAACCCTAAACACCGAAACCTCCAAACCGCCAGACCCTGCAGCTCCAAAGCCTAAACCTCTAAACCCGAACCTTCAAGGCCATGAAGCTCTAAACCCTTACATCCTAAGCCCCTGAATCCTAAAACCACCGTAAACCCTGAACCCTAAACTCCAAAACCTAAGCCCCAAATCCCGAACCCCAAATCCCTCAGCCCCAGAGCCAGCTTCGTGAGAGGAGGAGGCGGTGTTGTTCAAGGTCGTGTTGTAGGCGCAACAGGGGTGTGGCTGCTTTGAGGGTTATAGGGGTTTAGCGGTTTAGGGTCTGCTGTTTGAGGTGTGGGGGTTTAGGGGTTTAGGGTTGAGCTTTTAAGGCTTAGGGCTGTGAACGTTTGTTTACTTTTTTCCCTGCTGAGGTTTTAATGCATTCCCTCTTAATTCGGACTTTAAATCTGGCTTTGAACGGTTTTCTTCATCTCTTTTTCTTCAACTCGGGCTTGAACTTTCTGTTTACAAGGGGTTGAAGTGTGGTGTTGATTGGTTTCAACGGGTTTGTCCTAGGTTTCTTCCTCTCCCTAAACCTAACCTAAACCCTAGGTTGCTTCCTCCCTCAAACCCTAAACCCCTCTGCCCTAAACCCCAAACCCTAAAAGCCTTGTGCTGTCAAGTTTCAATCCGACCACCCAATCGGAGACTGTGAGTTTTTTGCAAGCCTGCGGTTTCGGGTTGAGGGTTTGGAGTTTAGGATTTGTGGGTTAGGGTTTTTTGGCTTCGGGTTTGGGCTTTAGCGTTTGAGGGTTTAGGGTTTGGAGTTTAGGATTTGTGGGTGAGGGTGTAGGGTTTCGTGGGTTAAGGTTTTAGGGTCTGGGGTTTTAGGGGTTCAGGGTATGTCTATGCGGTTTCCCGGAGTCCCGCCACATGGGGTCCTGCACCCCGACAGCTGTCCGCAGATGCTTCCCACTTCTGCCCCCCGTCCTCCCAACCATGCGGTTGATGTTATAAATCCTGCATTGCCTTAAGGACCCCAAACTGTGGGAATTATGGTAGATATTCCTTTTTTTGGGTAATGCAGGGTTTATATCATCAACTACAAGCCCTGAAACGCCGAACTGCACCGAAAAGCCAAGGTCTACCACACCTGAGATGATAATTTCCTACACTATTGTGGAGGTTCCTTGTTATGCGACCCAAAACCTTATTCTATTTATTAAGGCTTCATATTAAGGCCTACACCCTAAACCTCAAAGTCTAAACTGCCCCAAACAGCAGAAACCTTTCGTCAGGTTTCCAGAACAAGGAAACCTAAGCCAGGCGCCAAGGACTGCATCCTTTGCTAAGCTTTCGGCCTTAGTTTAAGCTACCATAAATAGGGATCTATAGAACTAACATGGTGTCCGCGTGATTAGCATAGTCTGAATTAGCGTAAGTTGCCGTACATAGGGGTCCATACAATCAATGTGGTGTCCAAGTGTTATGGTGATAGTCATAACAACAACCCAGTTTGCTTTCGGCCTGAGATGAGGTCGGGTTCGGACAGAACACGTCAGGGTAGGGTTTTGGGGTTTTGGGTTTTTGGGGGTTTAGGGGTTCGTTTCAATGGTTCGGGAGCTTGGATTAAGCTTACGCCCTGAAACCTAAGTGCAGCTTAAAGCCCACACCCAGGTCTTAACGCCTACACCCTTAACCTTAAACCCTAAAACCCTTACCTTCTTCGAGGGCCTCAAGGTTAAACCCCAGCCACGGTCAGGTTACCAGAACAAGCTTTCAGAATAAGTCTGGCGCCAAGCTTTCAGCAAAGCGACGTTTAGGGTTTTGGGTCTCGGGTTTCGCCGTCGTAGGAACTCCCTAAACCCCCAACCCCAAACCGTAGGACCTTCATGTGGTGTGTTCCTTTTGGAGGTTTGGGAGGATTGCCCTCTATCGGAGAGTTGGGAGTGGTTTCAGGATGCCCGGGAAAAGACGTAAGCACACCATAGACCCTGGATCGTCAAAGCTCCAGCCACACATTTTCCCAGACACCTGATAGCCTCAACTCTCGGCTGAACGTCCGAACACTTTGTGTAGGCCGTTAACCCTAAAACCTTTGCGCAACAATGCACCCAAGCTCAGTCAGCCCTGATGCTTCTGTAGCGAGAGAGCCGAATCAAGGATTCCGTTTGCCAAGATTGTGGATCTTTCAAGCTTGCGACGTCTGGGTTTGCGCTTTTGGGGTATTGCGTGCCTTCGAAGTTTCTTCGCCCCCGTGCTGCCGTTTCTGCACTCAATCAACTTGAAGGGTCTCGGGACTTAGTAAGCAAGTTTATGTGTACCATGATCGCGGCTATGTCATTTCGCCTAGCGAGCAAGCCCTCACTCTGAAATAAGAAGCCTAAGCCTCAGAAGCGACATCTGACCACCTCGACCTACACATCGCAAACGAAACTTGTTCTCTGCCGCCTGTGTACCGAAAGGACAACGATAGCGGTTTTTGCTAATGCCTTGCAGGCTCTACAAAGTAGGCGCCTGTCGGTGAATTTTCAGCGTCCCGCTCTGATTGGAGTCTTGAAACATGGTGGCCGCATGGGTAAACTCAAGTTAGGCTGAAAGTCTTCAGGTTATACTGCTATATTACATTCTGCGGCACTAGGTTCTATCCTATGCATCTAGATTCTGCTACATAGTTGACATGAGATGATGTTTGACTGCGCAATGCAATGGAATGCAATGCAACGTATTCTATTGAATAAGAACGCAGATGTCGAGCAATAGATTAGGCATGGACGCCGCTGAACATAAACCCTTTACCCAAAGTCCTAAACCCTGGACCCTCGACCCTAAACCCTTCCCTTGTGAAGAGCTTGGCGTCCTGCGAAAACTAACAGGCAGATTGCCCACCCTCCACCTATTACGGGGTGCCGTAGTCCTTCATCATGAATCAGAATAGGGTCCCTTATATGAGGGGTTCCTTCGATGGCCAAGATACAGGGCACTGCAAGGGCTTGGTACAGCGGCCGCAACGATCAGTCGAAGCAGAAGTTTGCATACAACCACTTCCCGTACACCTTCACAAACACGATTAAACCGCGGAACGTTTGTGGAAGAGGACAGTGACAATCTGGAGGCAAATTGCAAGAACATGATGCGGTCTACAACTATATGCTCAGCTTCGCATTGAAGGTCCCATGGATGGAGTCTCCAAGGACAAGGGCCGTCGTAAAAGCGTTGGATTTGCGAACAACAGTTATGCAGCTGCTTCCGCCGATGGATGACAAGACGTGGTGCCGGCGATGCTCATCTTTTGATCACGAATCGCTGTCGCATCTCTGCAGGAGGTGTCTGCGAGCCTGGGGTGTATGACTAAAGATAGCAACTATAAGGGAATTCTATTATCAAGTGCCCAGGCCAGTCCATGAATCCCATGATCTTCACTATCTTAAAGTGCCAATAGAGCAGCACAGCGTCATTCGACGCCTCTGGTACCAAGCACACAGTCACGCTCTCGCAGACCTTGAGACTCGTGCGTCGCGGACTGGTGGCACCTCTCCGCGTGAAATCCCGCTCGCAGAGCGGCTGACGAGATTGAAGAGACAGCGCATCGAGCTGAAGGGAATAGAGTTGGACATACATACGGAGCCAGGCCACGCGCTCGTTGATCGTGTGCAGGCAATGCTTGATAGCTCACAGGTGTTGCGCATTCCTGTGGAGAAATGCATTTTCAGCCCCTAAGGAAGCCTTCAACCCTCTTTGACTCCGATAGATCTGCTATGGAACCCAATCGAACCCATAGGCCCGGATAAATCCCTTATAGAACCCTTGAAGGACCCCTTCGCGGAATCCTTTTCCCCTAAACCCTAAACCCCTAAACCCTTAAACCATTATACCGTAACCCCTAAACCCCTAAAAAGCAATAAGTGCTTTAGACCCCCACACTAAGGCCAACAGCAACTCTTTCTCGGCTTCTTGGAGCTTCCTTCACCTCGTGGCTCTTGGCTGTGAGGTTGCCCGTCCAATGTTAAACCAGCAACGCTACACTGAGGGTACCTTTAAAGGGCTCTATGGGGTTTAGGGTTTTAGCGTTTAGGGTTTAGGGATTTAGGGTTTAGGGTTGGCGGTTTCGGGTTTGGGTTGAGGGTTTAGGGGTTAGGGTTTAGGGTTATCTTGACCCAACCAAATCCTGAACCGTGGAAGTGGAGGTACACGCGGGAGGCGATTTCGCTCGCCTCAAGCAGGTTTCCGTAGGTGCCAGTACCCCGTGTGCAGACGGAAATCAGCCTTTAAACAAATCCTAAACCCTGAACCTGAAACACTAGACCCTAGACCCTGAGCCAAACCCTGAATCCTAAACCTAGACATTCCTCTTGCTGGAGATGACAAATAAGGGATGCCCTGACAGCCTATGCTCATAGGACTGAGCTTGAGAAGCTCAACCCGACACCCCGATCCCCAGAATCCTAAACTTTTAAAGGGAACTCCAGAAAGTTGGAATATGGATTAATGGTAGGATCCCCTATAATTTACCATAGAAGGGTTACGATAGTGATATTCCAACTTTCTGGCTTCTACTTTAAAGAAACCCTAACCCCTTTAGAGTCCTCAGAGCTGTTGGAACCTTGTAGAACCCATATAGCTCTTCGAACCTTTTTCAAAACCCTCGCTAATGGAACTCTTGAAGGAAACCCTAAACCCTAGATCCCTAAAAGGATCCCTTAACGCATCCCTTAAAGGGAACCCTTAAAGGGATCCCTTACACGGATCCCCTGAAAAGAACCCTTGAAGGGATTCTAAACCCTAAACTCTAAACCCTAAACCCTAAACCCTTATAGGGAGCCCTGGCGCCCCAGCCGAGGCTTCCGGAGCTCCGCCGGGAAGCTGCGTAGCTCGAAAGTCCGAGATTTCACCGGGGCTCCGACGTACGAATCCTATGGGAGCCTAAACGGATTAGTTTAGGGTCTAGGGTTTAGGGTTGGGGGGTTTAGGGTTTCGGGTTTGGGGGTTTAGAGCTTAGAGCTCAGGGGCTTGGGTTTAGGGGTTTTGGTTTACGGTTTCGGGTTTAGGGTGGAGGGGCTTGCGTCTTTGGACGAAGAGGGCCTCTGAAGAGTCTAACAGGGGGCAGTAGGGCAGGATTTTATAACGGCCTTGAGCCAGAAACAGAAAAGATTTTCGGGCCGGATTAGCATCCTGCAACTATACAAGAACTAACAGTGGTAGCAATGAGATTAAGGACTACAGCGGATATCCTTACTAGTTGTAAACCCGACACCCGTAGCTTATCCTCCGCTGTGGCCAGCCTGGTGCTGTCTATCTAATCGCAGCACCGGTCCGTCCGTTATTTGGGCCTGTTACCGTCTTGATCGCATGCGCGTGTAAATCTTTAACCTCAGACTCTTAAAGCATGTCTTTGAGGAGCCCTCGACATAAGAACCCTCAGTCCTAAACCCTTGTAGAACGCTTAAAGAAGCCTTTCACATGCCCTCGAGGGGACACTCTGCACTGCCTAAGTTTTTCCCGTATGAGCTGTTAACATTTAGGGTCGAGGAGACGGGTTTGCGGCCTGCAGGGTGCTTTTCAGGCTAAGGTGTTAAGTGATTGTTGTTGGCCGCCGTTGGGTTGTCACCTTCATCCTCTGATTCCTCGACGCTCCTTCCCCTGCCGGCCGTAAAAAGTTATCAAAAACGCGGACCCTGCATCCTCAACCCCAGTGCCCCGACTCCCAGAATCCCTAGGCCCACGTCTCGGCAACTCCAAACATTGGTTTAATTTTCAAGCTACCATCATAGAGATCTACGGTACATGGTAATTAAGTAGTAGGGTTTCCTTGTTATATGGTAACTTAAAGTGAGCTCCAGGAACCTTCATCGGGATCTACGGCTCTGCGGTACATCGTAGGGTTTTTTATGGTAACTTAAACCAAGCTCCCTAACAAGACCGACCCCAGCGGCAGCTTCAAGACAACATGTAGAAGTCACAGCCCCGGAGCATCTGGCCTGGTTGGCCACTTACTTGGAGGATCAGGGGACTGAGTAAGTAAGGTTGCAAGTTCCCCAGAGGGGGTCATAAGTTGTTACAAGCATAGTTACCCTATGTATAATCCTAGTTGCTAAGTCCCATGATCCTTGAAGCAGACTCCGCCTGGAGGGCTTAGTATAGGGGTTTGATTACTTCGTAATCAGGAATCATATCCCCTTAGTCCCTGTTGTACTTGTAGCAACTTCAGGGTTCTAAAAGTGCTTGAATAAGTAGTAAGTGATAATCTGATAATCATATGCTCTTGTCGTCCCTTTTGTGGTGGTAGTACAAAATGCCCAAAGCTCCTGTCCCTAAACCCTA